CGACCGACCTTCATAAAACAGTAATAAACAGCAGTAATAACAACAACAACAACAAAACAAAGTAAATAAAAAGCAATTTTCAAATTATTTCCAGCATCCAGAGCAGTCAACCAAATACAAGTGGGTACAATCCAAATAACCAGCAACCACCACAATAAGATGCAATGACACCGCTAAAGAAAGCAGAAACATGAAATGAACAAGAGAAAATTTATGTGTAAATACAAACACATCCCTAGTAAACAATAGGAGGATGAGACAGTGGCAACAATCAGAGTAGCAAGTATAACAGCATAAAAGAACAATAATAGTACAATACAAAAAGGAATAAAACTTGTTTTTGTTTTTATCACAATTAAATGATCTAAATAACAGTAACAGTATGTCAAACACACGTAATATTTTAGTTACAGAAAGTACACTGTAAAAGAAATTTGATTACACTTAACCCTAGCGTAACGTTGCTTACCATTTTATATAAAGTTTTAATAGATTTTGTTTTCTCAAAACTTCAAGATTCATATGTATTTAGCAAAGTTATACTAGGTTAGTTTAGAACCTATTCGTCCTTATGTTCCAATTATTCCTAATCCATCTGGTCAACGTTGCTATGATAAATGCGTCTTTTCAATCTTATTCAACCTTATTTCATCAAAAGCAGAACATTGGCAGAGAAGTATCTGTTGTTGTCTCTTATTCTTCAACCTTGAAGCTCTTACAGAAATCATTGTAGTTTCAGCCTTTTAGCGTGTCTGCCCACTGGCCAATGACCTCTATAAGATTTCTGAGATGAAGTATATTTAGGTTTAACGTAAAACACATATTTTTGGAGTCCATGAAGGGGCAATTCTTTTTGATCGCTGTACAGGTGGGTTCTCTCTCCCATCTATTATTAGCAAAAAGTTAGAGCTTTTCCGCAATTATATGTTTTCTCTAATAAAACTAATGTCATAGTGATCTTCACTTATGTCTACAGATGAGCATCTGCTCGTTCGTTGCCATATTTCTTCCCATGTCCAGGAATCCCACTGAGGGTAATTCAATCAATCTCCTCAATAGTGAATATGTACACATTCTAGAGGGATTTATGGCCGATTTGCTATAAGTAAATATTAGAATATTTCCACTCGATTTGCTGTGATTATTCCAGCCTGGATTATACTGCAGTGATCTGGCAACCTGTATGACAACTGCATATTCAACTCATCCAAAAAGATCCCACAGCCAACTCTTTCATCTGCTTTTCATCCGCCTGCAAAAATTTGCATAACATCTTCCCAAAAGTGCTGGAGATTGTCATAGTAGGATTACTTTGAGATGTTTTTAACAAAAACCCGGATAAAAAAGACGTTTAGCTATTGGCTTGCTTTCTCTAACGCCGATCCAAAACATAAGATGGTATATCCGGTATACATTTTTCGGGATAATTCCCCATTTGAGGCCATTCGGCTTTTTACAGCAGTATAATGCTTTTGACGCTTTGCTAGACTTTACTGGATGATCAAGTATAATTTACTTTCCAATATAAGTTCGGAGTGCCACAATCTCCGCTCCACTTTTAGTTTCGAAAACTGAGGGATTTTGTACCTAGTGAAAAGTACGGGTTCAGCTTTGCTCGAGTTTACGCCCAGTCCGAAGTTATACCAAGACCGATCAATTATTCGATTAGCCCAATTGTCCGTCTGGATGACCATGTGAAATATGTTCATAAAGTAAAACGCATTTTTAACTTTAGGACGAAGATTAAACAAGAAGACCCTAGTTCCCATATAAGATCCTATTTGGAAAATTACTTTAATGGTATTATCTTTCAATAAGGCGACATGTGAAATGACAGATCAAGTGGTAGGGCAAACGCATCAGTATTATTTGGGTTATAAATAAAACGTTTAATATTTGTGCTGCATTGAATTCGAATCTGGACTCAAGTTCAAGAATCAAGTTTTCGAGATATCGTGTCCTCAACCTTGCGATCATATTTAATACGTTATAAAAGCGCGAAGGTATCTTTATTTACAAATCTGTCATCTGAAAGTGAAATCTGTTGACTTAAAAAACAAATTTATTTAGGACACGATATCTTGAATATCTGGTAAGTGAAATTCTGTGGTCATATTCCGCATCGTAGCTTCATCATTTAGATAATTTTGTTTTCCTGTCTACGTCTCAGATAATTATTTTATTTCTTGATTCTGAGTTCACAAAAGAACTAAAAGAGAAAGTACACAACACGCGTTGTACGCTACAATGCGTTATAGACTTCTGTCAAAAAGAGTTGAAATAGTGCATTTTCACTTAACAAGTTACACATACTGTAGTTTGTAACGCTCGTATTGTGTACCCTCAGCTTAAGAATGGCATTGTTATCTACAAATTTGTCAATAGAATAGAGGCCGATATATGAGGTACATGTGTACGACCTACAAATCTGTTTTAAGATTGTGGCACATTTTTTAAATAACTCAATAGGATTAAAAGGAAAACAAATCGTTGTGTAACAAAGCCACAACGTGTGTTCTCTCGGTAAACCAAAAGAACTACTTACTATAAAAGGTATCGTATTCGAAATAAACTCAAAACAATTTCCTAACTATACACACAAAAACGAGGCAGTGTAAATTGGGGTGTCAGTTTGACACCACTCCATATTTTAAGAACAAAAAACAACAAAAAGAAATGAACAGCATTACCGGCAAAATAAACAAACAAACAGCCTCTTTAGGAATTATGTATCATTTATTATTGCATTAAAATAAGGATCAAGAGTCATTTGTACATTCAAACGCAACCCTCCTCCTGCTCCTTGTTTGATGCTGCGAAAGCTGATGGAAACATGTTAAGCCGACAAATCGGTCTCGATTGATTAAATTGCATTGAAAATTCTCTGGAGTTTGTTGTGTTGGGTCTCTGCCTTCTTTTCACACACGTATTTTAAGCTTAATAAGGAATTTGAGAAAAGTGTTTGAATACGTTTGAGAGCAGAGTTTTCAAGGAATGAATTCTGTTTAATTAATAATTGACTTTTAAAGATTTCTTCTATTTAAATGTATATATTTAGTTAAAATGTTATAGTTTCCCGGTTACAAGTAATTGGAAAAAATAGTCGTTGTAAATCGCATGAACAAACGTATACAGCTTCTATAGCTTTATAGGCCAGAGGACTCTAATGAATTAGAGAGTATTTATATACATAACACATTATTAGTAAGACCTTATTAGAATACTTCTATGTAATCCTGACGATATGTAGTAGTTATTGAAAAGTATGTTGTTAGGCAAGTAATTACAATTGAAAGCCATTACCTAGTTTTTGCTGGGTATTATACTAATACAAAAGTGAAACCAGAGAAATAATGACAAAATTTTACAAAATTTAATGGATTCATACCTTTAAATAATCTTATATCTTTTTACATCTCTAATGCTACTAAATAGTTTTGCAAAAGTAGAAATCATAATTTTTTGAGATTTTTACTTAGCGATTTTATTGGTGAACACATCAAGGAATTTGAAATCCTTAAATCCCTTCAGCGTGTTAAATTGATGTGAAACCAGTAGAATCATTTTCACTTGCCTTTTGTGGATTTACGCCGCAGTTTTGGTGGTTGTTTTTGTGTATTTTTCTTTTGAGTTTTACCAAAGATTCCCGTGGAATTTTGCTGGAAAAAAGGCGTAAAATTTGTTGCGTAAAATCCTTGACACACTCCTTGTTTCGATTACCTAATGCTGATAGGAATATTTTAAGAATATGGGAAAATATTTGCATTGAATTTTAGTCTCTATAGTCTAATTTTGGGTATAACATTGTGGAGAAACATGTGGTTATTTTTTTAACTATTTTTCAAGCTAATCATGTATTGGGCCTCTTAAAAAGCATTTTGAATAGTGCTTCCTTTCCGAACACTTTACGAACTCCAAGGAGTTTGCTTCAAATCGGTTAATTAGACCCCATATACAATCTCACTGAAGCAATCATGAGTATTGTGTGCGCTGAAAGGCAACACGAGTAATAATTTATGACAGGATAACAATTGATTTCTACTATAGAAAAAAAATTTTGCGAACGTTTCCCAAATTCTTGACAGTGTTCTAGGCGGAAACATCCACGGCACTTGATACTGGTTAAGAAATTTTCAAAGTGTGGAGTTCAGGAACAGGTATCTTTGCATGGTCAGCAGGATGTGTTCTGGTGAAGTAAAAAGACCTATGGAGCAGCGATTTAAAACAATTTCTTGTGGCATCAACGCCGAAATCGATACTAGTCTCCGGTTAAGCAGTGGTTGCTGATTCCTTCTCCATTAAGACTTTAGTAAAGGTAAATAAATTTACTTCTTACCGGACATGATACCTTGATGAAACTTCCCAGTCTTTGAGTGATTGAAATCCGGAGGAAATGAGGTTCTACTAGTACCTCTAGTGTGTCACGATTATAAAGTAATGATATCTAATTACTCCAAGGTCGTTCCTTGGAAGAATTTGACCTGGGGTCGATCATGGGAACTGGTAGCCTGCAGGTCAAAGTTTCGGATTTTGTATTGTGCCAGTTTTTTTGTCGTTTAAACCCAAAATCTCAGGAAGAGAATGTTGGTTAAAAGACTGATACATTGTGAAATCTATATTTCGTCATAAGTTCTGTGCTGTCTCCGAAAAGATAACTAGGACTCCTCAGAGAATTGCCTGTGGGTCTGTGTTGGTGTCAAATGAAAAATATAAGAATTAATGAAGTGGTATGAGTTCCTCACTTCACTCGTATATCTAGAATGTATGTGTCGGATGTTTTTCCTTGTGGGATGAGTAGGATAATTGAGAGGTGTGTTGGCTTGAATGGTGATGGACGTAAGGTATTTTATGCAAGTATCTCTCATTATGCTTAATTTGTAGGAATAAATACGAAATGCTACAAGAGCCACATATTTGAAGAAGTCATTTGAATCAACCAGTCAATAGTGCTATTATTTAGACCCAATTAGTCGGTGAAATAAAAAGACAATGGTACATAATTTATATTCGTATAAAAATTTACTAAAAATTAAAACAACTACATAATAAAAAGCAACAATTGAAATAATAATTACACTAACAAATACTTATTTACTTCTGTGGGAAGGTTTGGAATCTAGCTGTGTATACAAAATTTACTGGCTTGACAACTTTGGCTTTCGTCAAACGTGCAGGCACAGCAACTAAGCGTCTTCTTTGTGGGAAACGTTGAGCGACTAAGCGAGCTGGGGCTTCAAATGTATTTTCATCAACAACGACTTCTTCATCTAAATCTTCAGCCACTTCTTCGGCATCGGTTTCTTCATCAGCTTCTTCTTCTACTTCTTCAATTATTTCGGGAGTGGCATCAGCTTCTGGTGGACCGTAAACTTCATCAGGTTGTTGAGTTTCTGGTGGGCCATAAACTTCATCAGGTTTTTGTACTTCAGCTTCATCAGGTTGTTTGGCATCAAATTCTGGTGGACCATAAACTTCGTCAGGTTGTTGTGTCACAAAATCGGTATGTTCAGTTTCGGTGGGTAATTCAAAGGGAATTTCGGGAGTTACACCTGCTACAGGATATCCAGTTGGTGCTGGTGTGGGGAGCACTTCTTGGCGGGCTAATACTCGTCTTCTCAAGGGCTTTTGACGAATAGGATCGGCTGCTACGCAAATAGCCAAAGCCAAAACTACAATTGTGGTGAATTTAAACATTTTTAAATTGTTAAATTATTTTGTTTAAAACAATGTTCGTTGATTGAAGTGAAGATTGAATGTACTGAAGATTAATTGAAAATTCTATTCTTATATACAAAAAATCGGAAGTTCTTCCTCTGCTTGACACTGACTCTAACAATGCTTAGCTCTGCTTAGCATTTCAATTTATGGCATATACTAGTTCAAGTATTTGAAATATTTTTTTTACATTATTAATGAAAACAGCAACATAATGATTATGTTCTAATAACAAATCGCCGGTTATTGTTATCGTCTAGTTTTTGTTTAAAATTTAGTTTTCTAGGCTTTAATTAAAGTTATAATAATGTGTGTTTTTATATATCTATTCACCTCTGTACGTGATTAGTTTTCTAATTGATCGATGTTGATGTGGTCAAAGTGTTAACAATTTTCGAAATTAATATTCAAAACGTAATCGGACTTTAAAGTGTAATATTTGATTTTTTCATAAATTTATGTATGTATTTTTATAACCTACACTACCATAGTGGAAAGGGTATTATGCATTTGATGTTTGTAACGTGCCCACCTTAAAATATACCGATCGACTCAAAATATTCGACTGTATGGCTGTCCATGTAATTCTATAGAAAATGGTTAAAATCGGTCCATTATTTCACTTAGCCCCGATACAAACGGACCTTCCGATTTGTGTTTTTAGCTAATAACTACTTCAAATATATTAGTATCTCTTTAAAAATGTCTTAAGTAACCAAAATTAACACATAACCATTAGTATTGCGATAAATTTAATGATAACTGAATTTTATTTAAAAAATCCCTGCTTCAAATTTTATGAGGATCGGCCCATATTTCATCAATAAATTGCTTAAATACTTTAGAATATACACATGTAGAATTAATATAAATAATTTTTAAAACATACACATAACTGGTGCAGCGTATCAATATAGTCGGACATGTCCGAGTATACTTTCCTACTTGTTTATCAATTAAACCTAGTGAATACAGATTTTATGGTAGTAAGTTCGATATAACTCATTATCAGGGGATTTATTTATGTCTAATATAATTGGAAATTATTAGATATTGTACTACTTTTGTACCAAAATTTTAATGTGGGCCATATTTAAAATGTTATGAATGTTTCGATTACGTTTAATATAAATACATATATTCGAATACCATCACTACTAGTGTTTCAAATTAATCCATTAACACACATACATATGTTTTACAATACTAACATAATTGAGACAACTTTTTAACCTTTCCTATATATTTTTCTTTTGAGACAGTTTGTTTTCAATAAAATCAGTTCAAAATCCTTTATCTTCGGCAAAACAAAAATATTTTCAATAAGATTTTTATTTTGTTTGATTTTTATTTTGTTTGATTACATTAGGAAAATCAAATTTGTAACAAGGCAAAGTTCTATATTTTGCAATGTCGAATCTTGAATACCTTCAGAATGATGTGTTCATCCGGACCGATCTGAAAAAATCCGGTGTTTTATATGTACTTTAAACACATTCATGATGAATTGTATACCGATATTTTATTTCAGTAATGAAATATGTCCGTTATCGGCAATAGCTATGGAGCTATATGTATACACAAAACAAACGAAAGCGGACCTTATATGGGAGCTATGCCCTATTATGAACCAATCCGAAAAATATTTTGCAGTGAGATATATGTATACACAAAACATATTTGTATCGAACATTATTCCAATTGGAATAAAATCTTTTTATTCTTAATCTATTTTTTAATTAGTAATGTGCATTTAAGTGATTTTCGGATATGGGAGCTATGACCATTTATGGACCTATACCGAATTACGTTGGTAATATGATTTCTGTTCATATTATATTATTAACGATAAACACATTTTCGGGAATGTGTACCTTTGTATGGGGGCTATGGTAAATTTTGGACCCATTGTTTATAGTTTGAACTTAATTAATCCATAGGCAAAATAAATAACGTGTGATAGAATACATTAATTAATATTCGGTAGTTTCTGAGAAAACTACTCGAGAATTATGAATTCGAGGTAGTCTGAAATGTTTACTCATAACTTTTTACGTTGTGAACCGATTTTGCTGATTTTCAATACCAAACTGCTCAGGCCAATAGTGAATATTTTCGGAGAACTTGATCGATTTCCTTTGCTTAGTTTTAATGTGAACGTGTTTTACACAGACAGACAGACGGATATAGATAAATCGACACAGAATATATATACTTTGTTGGGTCTCAGATGAATATTTCTCGGTGTTAAACACGGAATGAGAAACTTATATATACTCTCTATCACCACTGATGTTGGTGGAGGGTATAAAAAGTATCAAAAAAGTCGCATTTTATAGATTCTCATTTACTCCGGGATCTACCATCCTATATGGAAATTTCAAAAAGTACCTTTTGAAGAACGAAAAAGTACCAAACAATTTTTTTTTATTGGATCCCACTAACTCCAGGCCCGACATGCTTAATTTCATTTTTCTAAGTTTTCAATATTATAGAAAATTCAAAAAGTATCTTTTGATAAACGAAAAAGTATCAAAAAGTCCCATTTGATAGGATCTCATTTACCCCGTGACCTACATGCTTAATTTCATATTATTTTTGTCTCAGAATGCATACATGCTGACATATTGTTTTCGGACGTATTCTCTTAGGCAATTCAGAATGTCCCTATTTGCAGACGATCGTACTTACTCCCTATTTGTAAGCGAGCGTGGTAAGTACTTGCGTCCAATGCCATCCATGTGTTAAAATAATTACTTAAAAAAACATTGTGTAAGTCAGTTTTATCATTTTAACCTTACTTTTAAATTTAAGTTTTTGCTGGGTACATATAAAGTTGTTTGTAAGTCATTACTTGAGTCTTTCTAAGTAATACAGACGGTATGTTGTGGTCATTGAAAAGTAAGTTGTGTGTAATTGCAAGTTATTACCATGTTTTTGGGATGTGTTCAGCAAAAGCAGAGATTTCAACAACATGTCTAACTGGGGTATACGAGGCCATTTGTAACTATTCAACAATGCTATTAATAGACTCAATTAGTAGAGTTGAAAAAAAAGGATTTCAATTTAAACAATTGATGAAATAAAAAGACAATTATATGTACATTTGTATGTATAAGTATATTTGTAAACAAAATTACTAATAATTAAAACAACTAATAAAAAACAACAATTGGAATAAAAATTACACTAAAAAATACTTATTTACTTCTGTGGGAAGGTTTGGAATTGAGCTGTGTATACAAAATTTACAGGCTTGACAACTTTGGCTTTTGTCAAACGTGCAGGTACTGCAAATAAGCGTCTTCTTTGTGGGAAACGTTGAGTGACCAAGCGAGCAGGGACTTCAAATGTATTTTCATCAACAACTACTTCTTCATCTAAATCTTCAGCCAATTCTTCGGCATCGGTTTCTTCTTCAACTTCTTCAATTATTTCGGGAGTGGCATCAGCTTCTGGTGGACCGTAAACTTCATCAGGTTGTTGAGTTTCTGGTGGGCCATAAACTTCATCAGGTTGGTGTACTTCATCAGGTTGTTGGGCATCAAATTCTGGTGGACCATAAACTTCGTCAGGTTGTTGTGTCACAAAATCGGTATGTTCAGTTTCGGTGGGTAATTCAAAAGGAATTTCGGGAGTTACACCTGCTACAGGATATCCAGTTGGTGCTGGTGTGGGGAGCGCTTCTTGGCGAGCTGATACTCGTCTTCTCAAGGGCTTTTGACGAATAGGATCTGCTACTACACAAATAGCCAAAGCCAAAACTACAATTGCGGTGAATTTAAACATTTTTAAATTGTTAAATTATTTAGTTTAAAACAATGTTCGTTGATTGAAGTGAAGATTGAATGTACTAAAGATTAATTGAAAATTCTGTTGTTTTATACAAAAAATCGGAAGTTCTTCCTCTGTTTGACACTGACTCTGGCAGTTCAGCTTAGCATTTAAATTTTTGACATGTACAAGTTCTACTGTTTGAAATATTTATAATTTATGAAAACAGCAACATTATGATTATGTTCTAATAACAAATCGTCGGTTATTGTTATCGGCCTCTTTTTTGTTAGCCTAGTTTTCTAGGCTTTAATTAAAGTTATAATCATAAGTGTTTTTATTCTTCTATTCACCTCTGTTCGTGATTAGTTTCCTAAGTAATCGTCGTTATTATGTTTGATGTGTAAAATTTTTCGAAATTAATATCCAAACTTAATCGAACTTTAAAGTGTAATATTTGTTTTTTTTTTCATAAATTAATGTATGAATGTATGTATTACTTTTTATCAATTAAATCTGAGTTAACCTAGTGAGAACCGAGTTTATGGTAGTAAGTTCATTATAACTCATTATCAGGGAATCTATTTATGTCGAATATATTTGTAAATTATTAGATATTATACTACTTTTGTACAAACATTTCGATGTGGGTCGCATTTAAAATGTTATGAATGTACAAAAAATGGAAGAGTACTTACTTATTAATAATTCAATTACGTTTAAAGTACATACATATATTTTAATATTGTCTTTTTCTAGTGTTGAAAATTCATCCATTAATTTATTTAAAATTTTATTATATAATTCTTAAATAAGGGTATTTTTGTTGGGACAAATTTTTATACCCTACACCACTTTAGTGGGTAGAGTATATTGGGTTTGTGCTGATGTTTGTAACGCACAATAATATTGGTTCTATACCCACCTTAAAGTATACCAATCGGCTTAGAATCATTTCCTGTGTCGATTTAGCTATGTCTGTCCGTCTGTCCATGTAAACCTTGTAATCAAACTACAGGTTGCAATTTTGAAGATAATTCAGTGAAATTTGGTACACGATCTTCTATTGTCCCAGGGACGAAGCCTATTGAAAATGGTTAAGATCGGTCCAGTATTTCATCTAGCCCCCATACAACTGAACCCCTGAATAGGGCTTGTAAACCTTGTAATCAAACTACAGGTCGCAATTTTGATGATAATTCAATGAAATTTAGCACATGATCTTCTATGGTATCGGAGACGAAGCCTATTGAAAATGGTTAACA